TGGCATCCCAAGCCAGTTCTTAACCATCGCGCCACTCGGCCGGCCCAGAATACTATATTTTTTGTTTGTTGCTCAAATTTTTCCAGCTTTGGCCATTTGGCTCCTATGTTCTTTTTTTTATTATTTATTTATTTATTTTTAAGATTTTATTGGGGAAGGGGAACAGCCAAGTTGTTATCCTTCAGTCTTAGTTGTGGAGGGCACAGCTAGCTCAGCTCCAAGTCCAGTCGCCGTCTGGCTGCCAGTTGGTAGTTCGCAGCCGCTCAGCTCAAGGTGCCGTGTTCAATCTTAGTTGCGGGTGGGTGTAGCCACCATCCCACGTGGGAGTTGAACCAGCAACCTTGTTGTTAGGAGCATGTGCTCTCACCAGCTGAGCCATCCTGTAGCCTATTGGCAGCTCAGCAGCAGCTCAGGGGCATATCAGCTCTGGCGCAGCACACTGGCCCATGTGGGAATCGAACTGGCGACCCTGTTGCTCAGAGCTTGCGCTCTTAACCAGCTGAGCCACTCGGCCGGCCCACCTATGTTTTTTTGACTTGTCTTTTTTTGGGGGTGTGAGGGAGCACTTTTACTTTCTGGTGCTGCACGATGCTTGTCTCATCTTGTATTGTCTACCCCAGCCCTAGAATCATCCATTTCTCCAAGGAGCCCTGGTTTCTTTTATTGGAGAAAAATATTTAGAAACCAGGATCTGGTTTCTGAATGAACTGGGTATACCCATTGCCACTGGGGTTCATTGCTTCTAGTTCCTCTTAGGGAACAGAGCTAGGAAATACATGTATGTATACTGACCCAGATTTACACACATATCTATGTTTATTTCGGTATCTATCTGTATGTAAAAATAAACATGAGTTCATACTGGTCTCTGACTAATCCAGCACCACAGAGTTCATTCTAGCATTCCCCTCCTTGCTTATTTGTAACTTCTTTCTCTGACAGTGAGAAATGTGACTCTCGTTATTTATAATAGATTTACATAACTGTTCAACTCTAGTATATGTGTAAAAAGTAGGATATTGTAGTTTTAATTGCCACATAAATTTCCAAAGCATTTTGCAGTTGTTAACTAATTTAATTTATTTTTTAAAATTATTTTTATTTTTATTTTTTTAGCTGAGCCATCATGCTACCTATTGGCAGCTTAGTGGCAGCTCAGCTCGGGCTAGGGATCGAACCGCTGTTGCTCAGAGCTGAAACTCTTGATCGAGCTCTTAACCAACTGAGCCACTCGGCCGGCCCTAATTTAAATTATACTCCTATAATGTTGGTATTTTCAGTTACTATTTTTCAGCTTAAGTGGATAGGTGAAATCGTTTGCTCCTGGCCAAACAGGAGTTGACTGTAGCTGGACTTGACCTATTCTCACTCCCAACTCTATGCTTGATCTCAAGCAAAGCAGCCTCTTTATATCAAATATCATGACTAAAAAGTCAAACTTTGTCCCTTCTTGGGTGGGATTGCTTCTTTTTTTTTTTTAAGATTTTTTTTTTATTGGGGAATTGGGGGGATGGGAACAGTGCTGGGGAATTGGGGGAAGGAGAACAGACAAGTTGCTGTCATTTTGTTCTTCATTCTAGTTGTGGAGGACGTTGCTTCACTGGCCCAAGTTGGCACCATCATTGCGCTCTTCCCGGGCGAGGCAGATCAGTCGCCGGCTACTAGATGGCTGCTCACAGCAGCTTGAGGGCTGCTCACACTGGCTGCTGGCTACATACGGTAGCCCATGGCAANGAGAAATGGGTGTGGTGAGGGAATACAGCTGCTCTAGGCCTATAGGGTAACACTGCCCAGTCATCAGCTGAAAGATATTGAAAGAGCAGCAGCGGCAGCAGCTATTTTTATAAATCAGCCCTGAATCCAAGCTGAGCACATGGATTTAGAGTGAACAGTTGTCATGCTCTCACTATTACAGGCTGGGTGTTTGGTAGACAACATTAGAGTTGCTAAGCAAGAGACTCCCTTCGTACAGTGCAGCAGGTACTTGACTTGCAACTTTTAAACTTTGCCCTTAGCTCTGTAGAGCGGGGCATCCCTCTTCAGTGGTTGTTTTTACATTGTTGTTTGATGGTCCCTACTCCTTCCTTTCAAATAAAATATTTTAACCTCCATTATACTCTTCTTTTCAAATTTAGCTTAAAAATAATAAAGCTATCCCTTTTTGAGCACTTGTCATCTTCCAAGTACTAGTTGTCTGTATTTGTTTACAGATGAGGAAATTTAGATTGACAGGAATTAGAGGTCACACAGATAGTTAAGTAGCAGAAGTGGCATCCACACCAAGGTGTCTCTGACCCCTATGCAGTAATTCAGACACTGGAAAGTTTTGGTTCATACAGGAGTGATCAAGCTCTTGAGAATTTATTCATGCAAAGTAACACCCCTTCCCCAGAGACTGATAAACCAGATACCAATTTTATTTACATTGAAAGTGTTAAGTGCCATGTATACAACTGGAATTAATTATCCACTGGCTAGGATACCTCCTTTGTTCCTGGGCACCTTTGAAGAGGAGTAATCAGTAATTTGTAGAATGTTCCTGAATTCGGGTTTTCTGAAATTTTCTCACGATTAGCCTAAAGTTCTGCATTTAAGGGAAGAACACCGTAGAGATGCTATGTCCTTGACACATCATATCTCATATCAGGGGATACCTGATATCAACATATCTTTATTACTGGTGTTAATTTGATTTAAGGTAGTGTCTGCCTGGTTTCACTAAAGTGACTATTTTCCTGTTTCTTATTTTGTTAGAAACTAGAAATGAGTCACCAAGTCAAGCCTACACTCCAGAGGAAGGGAATTAAGCTTCACTTCTTGAAGGGACAAGTATCAAAGAATTTGTGAGCATTGTTAAAATCAACCATAGTTTTATTTATATACATATATATATATATATATATATATATATATATATACTTTGGGGGAGAGTCTTTCAGGCTATACAAAGATCTGATTTTTTCTTAAAGTGTGCCATCCACTAACTTTAGCATTTATCAGTGAAACTTGTCTGTAGCAGCATTACTAGTGTGCTATTCTGATGTTCTAGTTCCCTCATTCCTCCTCCACTTATTACTTGGAATCCTCCTGCAAGGAAGATTTGTACCTTTCCTCCATTATTTATTCAGTCATTTATATTAGTATGGATTCCTGAATATTTTTTTCTTTGGGTTGTAATTGAATACTATATATTTTTTTCTTAAGATTTTTTTTTTTAAATTGGGGAATTGGGGGGATGGGAACAGTGCTGGGGAATCGGGGGAAGGGAAACAGACAAGTTGCTGTCATTTTGTTCTTCAGTCTAGTTGTGGAGGACGCTGCCCCACTGGCCCAAGTTG